AGGGGGGCATCCCAAGCCAAATTTAACCATAGCTTAGGGGTCACCTGGCTGGCCGGTTGGGCACCCACCAGGCTGCACTCCAGGCTGCCTGGGCGGTGGCATTGCCAGGACAAGTCCGGGCAAGGTCCCAGTCAGCCTCAACACAATTTTTTTGAACTTTTTTTTTTTTTTAAACTGGGAAAGACATGTTTTATTACTCCTTTGACCAGGTAAGTTAGATGCATACTGCCGCTATTTGGACATATCGTGAACCGAAATGGGAAGGCCTTACCAGGTTCTCGCCAAAAACAATACCGTATTGGATTTTTTTTTTATCAAATTAGGTGAGCGCGTCGAATTTAGAGCAACGGCGAACCGATTTGGAATTTGGAAGAAGCTTCTTGGACCGGCAGATTGGAATTGGATGTTTTCTTTTATCAAATCAGGTGAACGCGTCGAAGTTAGACAAACGGTGAACCTATTTGGAATTTCGTAGACGGTAGATTGGAATCCGGCATGTAGTCCAAGCGTTTTAGATTCTTGTAGAAGCTTCTTGGACCGGTAGTTCAGAATAGGACATCTTGTGAACCGATATGGACAGGTATTCTAGAAACTTGGACAGACCCACTGTGCCCTTCGTCAAAGGACCGAACGATTTAGACTGACGAGCGCATAAATTGGTGGGCCCCACAGAAAGTCGTGCGTCACTCACGTGTGTCCTGCGCACATCCACCTAGGTACGGCAACCCACGTGCATGCACTTTCGCGTGTGCTGCGTGCATCCATCAACGTGCATTCACTTCCGCCGAGCATTGACCCACGGGCCTTGTGCGTTCACGTGCCTTGTGCGTTCACGTGCCTGAGATGCGGTTCACATGCCTGAGATGCCTTTCACGTGCCTGAGATGCCGTTCACGTGCCTGAGATGCCGTTCACGTGCCCGTGGGTTCGATGATCTGATTGCACAAGGCCCGTGGGTTCGATGGTTGCACAAGAGAACCCACGTGCATGCGCTCTCGATGATCTTTCGCCTCTGAACATCGTCAATGCGGTTGTGCCTGCCTCGCCTAGGTGGATGTGCCAAGGATGGATTAGAGAGGTGACACGAAACTTCGGCAAAGCTAATCGAGGCGAAGTTCTAGGTCGACAGTTTACGGGAGTAGCAGGCCCGTGATTCAGACGCATGTAACTAACATGCAAAATCGATTCCACTAAATTGATATCTTTGTTGGTCCCGATGGTGTGCGCAGAATCTCAACTCGGTCGACTGTTGAACTAAATGTGGTATTGGCAATACTAATTTGTTAAATCAATCTGCCTAACTCTGTCAGGCGTCCAAACTGTTAAGTCATTCTGTCCAAAATGGTCATCATGTATCCCAACCTATATCCAGTATGTCCAAAATGCTCATCGTTTCTCCCAACCTAAATCTGATATGTCCAAAATGCTCATC